CCTGTTCCTGCCCTTCCCTCTCACCTCCAGCTGGCAGCAGCTCCTCCAACGAGTGTCTCCCAGCACTTATCTCACACCAAAGTCACCCTCACCTTCCTCTCAGCTGCCCCAAAAGCCCAGCCTGGCCCTGCCTCCCTCCTCTGGAGGGCAGATCTGACCCTAGGGCGACTTTTGGAGGACAAAGATTTACCTTTGGGAACATGGTTGGAGTTTGGAGACAAATGTGGCTGTAGTAACTTGCATTCTAAAGGTTAAAAATAAGCATTAAGTTAAATCTCTTCAAGAGCATCGTGGGGTTTTTTATCAGTCCAGCCAACTGAGAGAGGATGAACAGCAAGAACAACAAAAAATCAACTCCCTCCTCTCCTCTGGCCAATTCTGCACCTTCCCAAAAGGCAAATCCCCCCCCTTTTTTTTTTCACCAAGTGAAAATTTGGCTTTTATGGGACCAGGACTGGACAAATGAACACAAAAAGGGGGACAGTGGAGGTTATATTTCCACTTAGAGCAGTTTAGGCTGCCACGAAATGACTTTTTAACCCCGGATTTCGACGGAGCTTCCCCTGCTTGGGAGAACCCCGTGGGGTTTTCCTGGAAAACAGGTGGCTCAGGATTGATTCCACCCCATTCCCGTGGTTTACCTGGGTGGTCTGTGCATATCCTTGAGCTGGCTGAGGTGCATAGGCGCTGTAGCTGTGGAATGAATGTAAAGACATTTTATAATCTCGCCCCGAATCTGCATCACAAAACAATTTTTCCCCGCAGACAAATGGGTTCTGCTGGAATTCTAAAGGATCTAAAAGCTCCAGGGAAGGCCTGAGGGTTTATAAACATACCTGAGTGAAGCCTAAAGCACAGTTATCACTTATTTTTATGGCATCTTTTTGAAAAGAGGGAGGAGAAGCTACTTACCCCTGCTGAGCTGCAGCTTGGCTGTAGGTACTGTAATCTGCAAGAAAAGGGGAAAAAAGGTCGATAAAGGCTTAATAAAATTAAAAGTGGAAGAGCACAGCAGCTGGAATTGCCTGCTGGAATTCCAGCTTCCCCAAGGTGGAAGGGAAATGCCCTTTTTCAGGCCTTTTTTTGGAGGGGAAACAAAACCTCTCTTCCCCTCATTGTTGCCGCTGTTTGATCTCAAATGACCCCAATTTAACTGGCACCTCGGATGGATCCCAAGGGAGGGTGGGATTGGGGTTGGAACAAAGGGAAAATGGGGATTTGAGGCTTCTGAGGCTTCCAACC